CAAAAGATAATAGTCTCTCAAAACCGAATGTATGTGTATATATATATATATATATATATATATATACAAAGAGACTAAGGTTAGCAGTTTCTTATAAAAACTTGATGTATATATGCATAAATAGTGCCTAGCAATTTTAAACTAAATAAAGAAAAAGCAAACTAAGAATCCATCTGTAAGAATCCACAATGTAATTATTTCTGCTTATACGTTCGTACAATTAATTTAGTTGCAGTAATTATACAATTTGATACAGAGTAAACAGAGTGGTTACATAACTGTCTTGGTAAACTCACGGAGTTAATCGGTTTTAATATATTGTTATATGATTATAATTACGAAAGCTTGGTTCCATATATAGTTTCAATAAAACGTTTAAATATACAATTCACTACACTAGAAACTCAAAACCACCTCAATAACATGTGAGATTACACATAAGGCCTGCCAGAAGCAACAAAACAAATCTTCAAAACATGCCCTTAATTACTATTGTCAACGCCAACGTACACAAGTTAGCATGCTGAACAACAAGAATGAAAAACTAGACTACGGTTACAGTTTTACCCAAATTTCAGTTCATGTTCGAGGTGTAAGTAGTTTTAAAAAAAAACTATTTTGTTACATAAATATATAAGTACCATCAATCTCCAGTTCTCGTGATATACATTGTGCTGATAATGTAAGATATGTATATAACCTTTCAAAATAAGAAATAACTTACTTGACAATTGACTTTGAAAGAATAGACTTGAATTCCTTTGTTTCATGTAGCAAATAATTTATGTTCATACAACCACTGAACTCGCGTATTAAGAGTAGGCATAATTTACAACAGATTTGTACAAACACAGTCAAACTACAACGCGGCTTAATAAGGTTAGTTTGGTGAGGTGGTTGGGAGTTTCAGCCGACAACAGCAGTACTTTGTTATTAGAACAAACAAGCCGGAGCATGAAGTTACAGTCGCCTCCCTTCTCGACTTCCGCCAGGCTTACTTCTGTCACCTTTTGCTGGACGGCGTCGCAGTCACACCCCCTGCAGCACTCTCGAACCAGGTCCCACCGGTTTGACGCAACGGTAGCTAAGTGGGTGACGTATGTGACGGAGGTAGGCAAAAAAGTTTCAGTTCGGTTGGAAGCGATAACACGAAGCCCAGCTTGCCGCCATGTTGGCGCCCAGGAAACTGTCGCTTTTGATGTATCCCATCAATCAACTGCAGAGGGGAAGGCGTCAGGTTTCTGGTACCTGCCTTAGTACCACCTCCAGATCCATTCGATATCGATTGCCCTAGGGAAAAGAATACTCTAGACACACGTAGCCATGGCGACTTTGTCAGAATGCGAATGGTTACAAAGATAAATGAATATTATTTATTATACGATGGTTTTAAATTTTAGTCAGCGTTAAAGAGACCTGAGTGCTTATTATATAGAACAGCGTCAATTACTGCACGCACTGAAAGGTATGTTTCTTAGCTTATTCACTTATTACCTTTTTTCTTTAGAGAAAAATTATCAAATGCCAATTTAAGTAGGCTATGATTTAAGACAAATTCAAACTTAACTTTTTCACATATAACGTTTAGTGAAACCTCTATCCAAGAAATAAGGCAGATAAATCTTACTAGGTTTAACACATGCCTTATAGAGACCACTTAATATATAACTTAATACAAATTAACTTCAAAACGAAAACTAGGTATGATTCTGTTTTGGGCCTAGTGTAGTTTAATGGCTAGCCTGCTAGATTGTGTACGCTTATTTATTTATTTTTGTCTACAAAATTACATTAATACAGCCTTTTCTTCTAATAGCAGTTTGGATTCACAATTAGTCTCACGAACAGAAACCAACTTTTAACTTTTAAAACAAAGACAACTGTATGGGGTAAAACACGCGTGTATGTGAGAAAAATATAACAAACTGATAAATGAATAACCATGAAGTAAACAAAAAGTCGCAAAATAAGAAATGTATCTTGAGTAAAATAAATACTGTAGAAGTAAACAAAAAGTCACAAAATAAGAAATGTATCTTGAATAAAATAAATACTGTAGAAGTGAACAAAAAGTCACAAAATAAGAAATGTATCTTGAATAAAATAAATACTGTAGAAGTAAACAAAAAGTCACAAAATAAGAAATGTATCTTGAATAAAATAAATATTATAGAAGTGAACAAAAAGTCGCAAAATAAGAAATTTATCTTGAATAAAATAAATATTATAGAAGTAAACAAAAAGTCACAAAATAAGAAATTTATCTTGAAAAAATAAATATTGTAGAATTTTCCTCTATCATGTTGAAAAGTTTCTTTTACACAGTCTGAAGGTACATGTAAGTCTTAATTCGGTGTCAATATTAACGAAATAATTAAATATTCCTATTGCTTTTCGCAACATGCTACGATATTAATCATCTTATTTTCTATTTCGAAACTATAGAAAAGCTGTACCTTTCACGATTTTACATGTAAAATTATCAGTCGTCAACTCAAGAGATTGTAATAAATTATGTGGATGAGACGTTACTAGAGGTTGAAAATTATCAAATATATTAGTAATGAGTATTACTATCTAGAATTAAGAATTTTTTTAAAATTATAATAACTTGCAGGCACTTATAATAGTACTAAGGATAATTAAATAGATCTGATTTTAAAATTAGCGTTAGGTATATTATAATGCTTAAATTGACTATTTACGGATTTAGTATAAGATCAAACCTAAGTAAAGTAAAATTTGCACAGAAGGTAAGTGTTTTGTATTCCTTAGAAATGAATGCGACTACATTTGTTATTCGCTAGCTGAAGACACTGCACCTCTCATGCTAAACATAATTATTGGAGCACGCGTAATTTAAATTGATTTTCTAGATTTAAACGTAATTTTGTAATTAGCTCGATTTTCCAATCATCTATATGAATACGAATTATAATCGAGACTTTTGAAATTAAAAATGTTTCAGCAAATGTGGTTTTTATATATTACACATGGTGGTTAAAAATATTATATTTAAAAGGTAATTGCCTTCGAAGCACACTGTAAGTAACATGTTATAAAATATAGGATATTTCTAGAACAGATTCACAGATTGCTATGGAATTTGAAATATCAACAAAAGACAACATTGAATTTCTTGACACAAAACTTGGGATAGTTTGTGCTGCGTTTCAAAGTTTGCATGTTACCACAGATTGTAATTTGAAGGCAGAGTGTTAAATCATGGATGTTTTAAGTGTCCCCCGCCAACTTCAAGTGCTCTTATATGGTTATACAGTGGCCAAGTGCTGCAAGCTATACGACAGAGGAAATGGTTGTAATCTCCCTAACATCGCATTCTTTAGCGCGGCCAGATCACGTGGGCCATCACGGGTCACCTTGCATTTGAAATAACCCCATGGATCGTTAGACAAGCCATTTTATCTGTACCCTTTATACCCCAACTAATGACAACATGCAGATTTTAAAATGCAGCGCCACCTGTCCAAAAACACATGCCAAGAAATGTAATGATTTCCCGAATTATATATAATCTCAATTTTCATGACAATCTCTGAAGCCGTTGTGTAGATATACCATTTCATTTAATGCGTTTACTTAGTGAAATCTCTATATTACAACCAGGCTTGACAAACAGTTTTCTTTATTTTCTTATAACAACATATTTATAAATTATGCAAAATGTAAAACAAAAATCATTCGCAACTTAAAATGAACGTTAATAAAAACACATCGACAGGACTAACATATAAATATAATAGTGGCTATTTTGTTTGTTTGGAATTCAGCACAAAGCTACACAATGGGCTGTCTGTGCTCTTCCCACCACGGGTATCGAAATCCTGTTTCTAGTGTTGTAAGTCCGCAGACATACCGCTGTGCTAGTGGGGGCCAGTGACTATACAAACAGTAAAGGAGAAATATAAAAAAAGCCCTAGAAACTGCCAAAGATAAATGTATCAACTTCATTGTTAAATGTTTATTGTTTAACTGCTAGTTTGTTGCACTTCAGTTGACCTACGTTGAAGTTTTTTGTTTGTTTTTTAGTTCACAATGTTTTGGCTTTGAAGCTATGATACATTAAGTTAATATCAAATACTAAATCAATATGCGGGAAATTTCTATGAATGGCTGCCCATTTATCTGCATTTTTCATCTCCAATAAAAGTTTTCCGACCATTCTCCACGTTCGTGTATTTATAAAATAAACATAAAAATGAAATACGAGCCTATTTCAGTAAATGGAACTTAGTCATCAGGCTACATATGACTGAAGCAGTACGACCACCTGTTTACCCTGTTCCCATGCAGGCAAAATGTCTGAACGCACACACGTTTCTGGGAGATGCATTACTACATTGTTTCTTTATAACAGCTGGGATTTCCAACTATATCAAGGTAATTTTGCAGTTTTTTTTGTCTTGTTTTATAATGAAAGTAGACTCATAATATTTTGCAAACAAATTTAAGAAATTCTAAGTGGAAAATAAATGATGAACTTTTTCAATAGGAGGACAATGAGTGGTAACTATATAAAATTACTGTAAGAAAAATATCTATTGTAATTTAAGGGCATTGTTTTTACTATATCTTTACTTCTTTTAAACGTAGTACCCCGTGGGGCAGCGGTAAGTTTAGGGATTTACAATGCAAAATTCCAGGTTCAATTTTCCCGTAGAGGACAAATTTCAAAAAGCCTTTTTGTAGCTCAGTGCTAAACAACAACAAATAATCCTTTTATTGAACGCGCTTAAATTATGCGAATTGACTGTCACATTATAATGCCCCCGAGGCTGAAAGGACGAGTATGTTCGATTGCGAGTCGAGCGTCCTACCACCCGGCCATGATAGACCCAAACATTTTAGATCTACCGGTCATGAGCTTATAACTAAAAAGTAAATATATGATATTTCTGCATCTGGATACATTTTTCCCCGCCCCCAGTGGCACAGCGTTACGTCTACGGACTTACAACGCTAGAATCCGGGTTTCGATACTTGTGGTGGGCAGAGTACAGATAGCCCATTGTGTAGCTTTGTGCTTAATTACAAAAAACAACAAACAAATATTTTCTCCTTTCGTTTTCCAAAAGGATGTGATGTTTGATTGACTTTTTGACATCTTCATCTATACGTTGAAAAGTAAACTTAAAAAGATGTTAATATTCAAAAGAAAGAATGACTATATATATTTTTCAGAGTAGGCAGATAATGTTTGATCACACTGCAGTTGGATCAAACAAAACGTCAGACAGACATGTGCACAGAAAGAACTACATGCACTATAAACTCATTATATGAATTAGTTTCATAATTTTGTAAACAATAGTTTCGTTATAATCTAATTGGACAATGTACTCACATATTACATTATAAGACTCTTTTTCATAAAATAAAATAGTGTGGAAAGAAAGTCCACATTACAGCAAACATTTTCTGAAAGATATATTGAGAAATAAGCTTAAATAAATCAGAAATGATAAAAAGAGTATAAGAGCACTGTTATAGTTACAAGATTATTGAAAATAGCTAACTTAAAAAGGGTGATTAGGGATTTTTAAAAAAATACAGAAACAATATAGGTAACTTAAAGTGAATATGCAATTGCAAAAAATAAAGTAGCTTAAGGTTTGACACATAATGTTGACATTATCTCCTCAAGCTACAAATCGCTATTTTGACTTGTAGACATGTAAGCTGGACAGTCCATAGGATGAATGAATTAGCACTGGAGAAAGTGAGAGCATAATGGCAACTTGTCAATTACATCAGACAACAACATCTGAGATATTTTCGCCACATCACCAGGGGCAACAAGTTCTCCGCGATCATCCTCCAAGAAAAGATTCAAGGATGTGTACGACAGCACAGAAAAGGGACAGATGACATCAAGGAATGGACCGGTTTATCATTGGCTCAATGCACCAACAGGGTAAGGATCAGGGACCTATAGAAGGTTATGATGTCACAAACCATGGTATCCGACTCTAAGCAATGAGAAAGGAACCAAACGAAGTGAGACGAGATTCAATATGGCCTGCTTAAAAGGAGTGAATCAACAACATGCTTCTGAAGTAACATAGAGCAAACCTCCATCAGAACTACTTCTGGTTCATTAGCACTGGTTGGGGATGACTTAGGTCAAACGTCTTCCCATAGCAGTTCATAGCATTCATAGT